CCTCTGTCACTCCATTTGGTGACAAAGCCTGAGTTACAGCAAAAGAAGCACAAAGCCTGCTCGAAGGCTTCAGGTCCTCTGTGGCACGTCATTCCGGCATAATCCGACCATGTCATACGGAATCCTCGCAGGATGCAGTCCACCGACTCCTGCTGCTAAGAGTCCATTCGGCATTGCGCGGGCGAGGTACCACTTCTTGGGCCAGCCAACCAACCCCCGATTTTCAAAGTGGGCTGATGGGTTGTATGCTTGCTGAGGGCTTGGAAGGAGAACCCGAAATCATGCAGGCTTGATCACCACAGTCTGGAAGCTGTCAAGGTGAGCATCAGTATGTGGGCTGCCTTGCTACAAGGATGTCGATTCCGTCGTTCCTGAATGTGTTGAGCTACGGAACCTGCTTGGCACATGTTTTGCGAGCTCTGCCAAGTCATGTGAGCCGAACGACCCTGCGTGAGCAGTCGATTCTTGGGCCGTTAGGACAAGCTGCCCTGTCTGTAACTCTAAGACCAGGTAAATTGTACAGACAGGCCGTGACCAAGAATGCCAAGAGCTTGCAAGGCATGAAGGCTTTAAGCCAGCTACGCCTGGTTGAAGCCCTCTTCATCCTGCAGCTCGGAAGAAATGAAGTTCCGTCGGGATTTCGCGCTGGGTTTTATGCTCTGGGCGAGCCGCTGATGCAAGGAAGTGTTACCTGTTGACTCTTGGAAATGTGACACACGAGCTCAGTTCGGCAGCTACTCGAAACGAGATAGCAGGAGGTGGTTCGTGCTTCGCCGATCTGCCATTTATCTCCGGTAGCTGATTCCCATCCTCACCTCATGCGACCCGAGCAGCGGATACATCTTTCACCTCCGCCTCACTCCACAAGCAAGCAAGCGATCGCCCAACTCGGTCCTCCACTGCTTTGATGCCGGCCTTAGCGGAAGCTTGGACAGCTGGTTGCAACAGCGTGCAGCAGCGGATCTCCCAGTTCACCTTCTGCTTTGCTCAAAGGTCGGCCAGCCGCGTTGACTCTAAGAAGCCACCGTCTGTCACGTTTGGGCGTGTGTGAGGTTTGAGTCTGGCTCTGCGCCCACAATGCTGGTGATACAGGCTGCGTCTACGTCCTACGCATACGCGGCTGCGCATGACTGAGAAACTGCATCAATACAAAATTACGGGGTGCAAACTGTGTCTATCCCTCTGTTCATTTTCCGTGCGTCCGTCTGTCCATCCATCCGTGTGTCGGTCTGTCTGTGTGTCCTTGTTTCTGCGCGTCGGCGAGCTGTGGGGATGGGGGCCTATGTGGGTTGGTGCATGTCTGTGCTGCAGTCAAGGTCGAAAAATGTGCACGGGGATTCCCGTACGTGCAACAAAGACCAGTTGTTTGCAAGCAGTACACGCCCAGATACAGAGTGAGACCGACACGGGACACTCAGGACAAACAAAAACACAACTACGGCGGATGCTGGAGTAATCGCGTCCAACTGTGGTTCCAAATCGTGCGTGGCTTTGGCCGGAACTGGACTCTTGCCAGCACCATGAGCTTCTGCCCGAGGATGAGTCACATCAAGGGCGTGCAGCTGTTCTGAAGTATTCCGCCTCTTGGACTCACTAGGTAGCTAGGTGTACATGCTGGCATACTGTCGCCATTGGCCATACTTCTGCAGCAGTGAGAAGCCAGCGCTTCGCGAAATTGGGAACTGACTGCAAGCATGTCAAGTCGTTTGGATACACGTTTCACATAGCCAATGAGCCGCGCAAGTGCAGCTGCCAACAAACAAATCACTACACAGTCAGGGGGTTGCTCAGTAGGGTCTCGTACGCGTTACGTCACCGAGATGGCTTGAGACAAAATGACCATTCTGATTAAGCCCACCGAACCCAAGCCCCCGCCCCCCACCAGAGCCTCCTAAACATTCTACTAGCAGTCAGCCGCAGTTAGCCTGTTTTGCTGCTAACGTGAGCAGGGAGTCTGGGGCAGCACAGGGGGATGACTAATGTTTGGGGGCGTGCCCCCACTACTGCATGCAGAACACACAGAACCTACACGACAAATGCAGAGCACATCAATGTAGGCATACATCCATGCATGCGTATGCGCGCATAACAGTGTTATGCTGCATTCCGTTGTCTGTACGTTATACCTTGCAGTACATTACATCACATTGCTACACATTGCGCTGCATTACATCAAATGGCATAACAGCACCTTGCAGCACATTAACGTGCACCAATTACATGACACGGCCCTTGCTTTGCATTGCATTGCATTGCATTTTTTCCCGTGACACTGAATCACACTACACTACGTTGCATTACACTACACTGCACTACATTACGGTACGTTGCAGTACACATACAAACATGTCGACAGTTGTTGCTTGTGTGTAGTGTGAGCATGGGTATGGACCTGGATGGGTGGGTTGCGTGTGGGCGCGGGTTTCGGTGTTTGGGTGGGTTTGTGGGTTCGTGGGTGGGTCAGCGGGTGGGTGAGCCGGTGTTCCTCGTAGATGCACATATGTTCATAGGCACAGGCAGATGTTCATCCAAGTGTGCATCAACGCATTAATTAGTTCACTTCCCCCTTCATGCTTCTTCACTGCAATTTCATGCAGAATGCATAGAACGTGTTTAACACGCAGCACTGAAGATGTTCATGCATGGCTGCGGTGCTTCGGGCAAACCGGCCCCCATCTGAGTCTGAGGTCCAGGCCATGCTGCAAACAGCCGAGCTGGAGTCTTTGCGGTCAACTGGGCAGGAATAAAAACAAGAGCTGAAAGCGCTGAGCAAGCCTCGACAGAAAGTCTATGCACAATAAGTGCTCCTGGCAACCTGTCCAAGTTTCGGATCCCACGCGAAACGCGCAGAAAGCATTCGGGCTTGAAAAGTCTGTCGTCTTCTTTGCAGAAACCCCGATTCTCGCAGCCTCTCGACTGCAGAACATCAGAACACTCAGGTCGGCATGCTCTGACTCCCCTCCCCTCCCCCTCTTTGATGCTCAGGCTCCGACGCTCCCAGGCCCCTCTCACTCACCCGAGGGGCCCCGCTGGACAACAGGAGTGGAGCCAAAGCGAAAAAATGGCTGCGAGCATCAGCTTTCCGGACCTTCGATGACCTACGTTTCCCAGACCCCGGACTACCAATGAAAGAGTTCCTAAGGCATCGAGCTCGTGCAAGCTTTGAGCTGCATTTTTGCTCCATATGAACTTTTGTTTCCCGGGCCGGGTAGATTATGAACCAGGGTAATCATCGAGGGGCGAATGATTGTCATCATGTTGACGAAAGAATGGCCTGGGTACACCTTTTCTCGACCAGGCAGCAAAGCGACGTCACAGCATAAGTGTGCTGCCCGGGACGTGCAACGCACCGCCTTCCAACGATCTCACAACCCACAGGATGCACAGCTTGGCAATGGAAGGCTGCAGATACACCCGAGCCTTGTGGTTCTTGGGCAAGATCCCCCCTAAACCCTAAACCCTAAACCTGGCACGAGATTCGGATTTTTGGGGCAAGATCCTCGGGACCGGAGCTGGGGTCACTGGAGACGGCGAGTTGCAACTTGCTTGCTCACACCCCAGCCTCACACTTCACAACCAACGATCTGCAGATTGAATTCGTCATGATGCGTGGGACTGGACATGTGAAATGCTTGTGGGCTCCATGTCCCTCATCTTCTTTGTCGGTTATGTGGTGTGAACAACCGGGTATGGCAGGAAACAGAGGAAACCGAATGTTGTCGACGCTTTGGCTGACAGTTCTCGAACTTGCATGCGGCCCTCACGGCTCAAGCGGAGTCGGAAAGCCGGGGCCCTTCGTGTTACCTGCCGTAGGGTCAAGGCCAGACGAGCTGTAAAGTTTGGCACCGATCCCTACATCTCCTACCCTAAACCCTATAAACCCTAAACCCATGACTCCTACATCTCCTACATGCCCCCTGCTGCTGGTCTCGAGCACCACGTGTAGAAGGCCTCTGGCTCTGGTCCACGGCTGCATGGTCAGGAGGCCTGGCTGTAATCAGCACAGGGGGCCGTGGCAGAAACAGTCCTATATAGTAGCTGATCATGCTACCTATCAGGCCTAACATCGAAAGGTACCATCTTGATCGCTTCTTACACTACTGCCATGCAGAAGGATGCCGGAATGAAAGAGTCAACAAGTGCAATGATCTGCCGCGCTGAGTGGAGCCCTGACGTCACCAGTCGTCTACATGGCTCGTGCAGTTGGACTGCAACCATGGGCGGTACTTACCAATGCCAGGGCATAACGAAGACATGAACGATGAACAACAACCTAAACTCAACGTGCTTGTTGCCGTAGCTGCCAGTCCGCCCCTCTTTTCACATCAGAGCTGCATCTACGTACGAAGCCCGCTGCATCATCTCTTGCAGCACTAGAAGATACTCTGGGCTGAGGAAAGCGGCCGTGAGCTGCTGGGCTTGTGTTTTGGGGCTGTCGTAGGAACTGCTTCGGGCCACCTGCCTCATAAAGCCCATCTACTGATCTACTGCGAATACCGCATACGTTCGGCGGGCGTCTACGCCTACGCCGTTCCACCCATGCACGTGCATACACGTCTTTGGCTCGTGGGCGGGCTATCTGCAGCGCTGTACGGCTGTCAAAAGTGTCCATCTCCACCGACAGATTACAGCCAGCAGGATTCCGGACATTTAAGCTGTAGGACCAAACGCTCAGGGGTTCCAGAGTTCAAACTGCCGTCCATAAGAGCATCGTATCCTATAGTAGCTAGCACGATGAATATCCTGAGCAGCCCGAACATGCCAGCCTGCTGTACGAAGCTGACACAGCGGACACGTCATGGAAAATACTTCTCCTGGCCCTAGCTATGGAAAACCGTGTGATGGGCAAGCAGCCTTTGCGACTTGTTTGTGATGTATATATTCTGTGTGAGGCATGCGTGCTTCGGGCGTCTACGAGTGCGTGAATGGGTGGGGCTTTGAGCAGTGTAGCAGGCCGACCGGGTCCTTGAGGTTTGGGACCTGCGAAACAGCAGGTACTTCTAGGACTTCTTCTTCATGCCGGTGCGCTTCATGAACTCGAGGAAGAGCGGGTATGGACTTCCTCGCTGGGAGGAGCAAGCTTCCCGTTGCTGAAGACACATGAGAGCAGTCGAAGTCTAGCAGTCTAGCAGTCTAGCAGAGCACTGCACCGAGAGGAACGACGAAACGCCTGAAGACCCTCTCGTCAAGAAAGTCTCTACGAAACTGCGCTGCAAGCCGAAACCGGCTCATGTGGCTAAACCCGACACCATGCATGAAGGAACTCAGAGCCCCGGTCTTCTCATGATCGTGCGAACCGGCTAGTCACGTCATGATCCGCGCACGGAAAGCTTCGTGCTTGCAAGCTCGCGGCAGGACTCACTAGTTGTGGCCCTGAAGAAGCAAACATGCTTAAACCGTACAGCCGTACATCCAGTCTCACTGGTTGCTGTCAAGGCTCTTGAACGGAGCAGGGCCAGCACAAACTCGATTTGGACGTAGTAGCACCGCATCAGGAAGACATCGTCGATCTGCTTGTCGAAGCGGTCCTCCAACTTTTTGCAGGACAAGTGGTATGGCTACTTCTTGTTGCCTTTTCTCTGCGACCTTTGGGATGCTGTGCTTCTCAAGGTACATGTCCCCAGCAGCCTGCAAGATGCCCCTATTTTCTTAGCACTACAGACGACGACACTTACCAACAAATCTTACTGCAGCTATGCAAGAGGAAATGTAAAGCCACGAATGCCTGTAGTTCTGACCAGCGTCCTATCCTACCTTGCTGCTTTCTTCGTCCAGCTTCGGCTTGCAAATCTGGAATCACTAAACCTGCTCCAGAGCTTGCCAAGAGAAGCACTAGCCAACCCCAATGGAGACACCGAAAATCATATAGCTGGGCCGAAACACATAGGTTCTTTACCTGTTTCACCCACGATGTCTCGGAGAAATGTCCTTGATGCCTTTCCATTGTTCTCTCGTTGCCAACCTGTGGAGGCTTGGAGGAGCAGCAATGAAAGAAAAGACGCAGTTCGTTCTGCCCATGAGCACGAACGCATCCCTGTTTTTTTGCAAACCGTGCAAACCCGTCCATGCATGCGCAGCTGCATGATTGTGCCCCCAGGCAGGCACACATGAAAGTGATGCCAGCGCTACTAGGAAACAGCGGCCATCTCAAACTGACCGCCTGTAGTACTTAACTGCGTTAGGACGTGTTGTTTTGCTGCAGGTAAAGAGGCTAGTGTGAACAAGACTACCGAACACAACACCCGGAGACACAGCAGCATTTTTCGCCAACCGACGGTCTGACAAGGTGAGAACACCGATGGCCCAAACGTCTCGGCCAAGTTAAACCCAATAGAATCCCTGCCGTGTGCCTCGTGCACCACTGCACGTTCGCGCAGACACCCGGCAGGGAGTAGGCCTGTTCATCAGCAATCAATGGCAATTATGATCCCCGGAAGACTTTAGGAAAGGAGCCTATGTCTTCTCCTTCCCCTTCACTCCGCTCTCTCTCTCTCTCTCTCTCTCTCTCACGCTCGCTGCCCACTCGAGCTGGCTGCGCCTCCGACTGTGCTTGTTAATTGGACCTAGATTACTAATGAACAAAGCATTCACTAGCGCCGTGTTTTTTTCCATGCTTTGCGTGAAAGAACACGAAAGCAACAGTATGGGTAAGCAGCAATTACGAGTGCAGCAGTGGTCATACTGCTGTCGGCATTGTGGTGGCAGGATTCCAATGTCGCCCCTGGCCTCATTCCAACACTAATTCGCAGGTGCTTCAAACATAGTAGGATTGACTGGCAATCACAAACAAGCAGCTAAGTTCTATGCAGGATCCCGTCCGATCTGAAGATTGTCAGCTTCCTTTTGCTGCAAGTCGGTACACGGTATACCGGGCCACTGATATGCGAGGCCCGCTGCTGGAACACAACCCTTCCGAAACACTGGCGAAGCTTCGAGGCTATTTCATGCCCAAGCATCGAGCACCAATCAAGTTGTTGTTGCTTGCCTGAGAAAGCTTGTAGTCCATGTAGAGGAGGTCTGGATCCAAATTCACGCCTGTTACCTCCTTGTACTCGTTGGCGAAGCACTTCACCCTTGCGGGCAGGGGTGAAAACAACTTTTGAGCGCAAATGGTGTCTCTTTACCAAAGTTCAAATTCCGACAACTCATGAACCATGAAAGTTCCCAGGCACAGTTTTTGCTCGTGCTCGTCCATGAAGTCGGGTTCCGCACCGAGCCAGCTGCCGGCGAGGATGGTTGGAATCGGCATTCCCACCTCCCAGCTTTCAGGAACATTTTCCCGCATTAAGATGCATTTTTCATTAAGCTTTGCACAGGAAATTCTACAACATGGGGATCCAAACTCAAATAGCTCGCCTGAAGTACCTTCGACGAAAGCTTGATGTCTTTAGTATTTAGCCACCAAGATTTCATTCCGCATGCATCTTAATAGTACCAAGTCCCAACAAACAGACGTGCAAACTGAGATTGACAAGCATTGCGACACACAGCATGACTTGCAGCCCGCCATCGCGCCACCCCAATCCTTGGACACAGATGCATGGCGAGCAATGAAAACAAATAAAATGCCCTAAATGTATCGTCGAACGGTTGTTGCTTCCTGCGGCGTCTCGAGCAGCTGGTGTTCCCTTAAACTTTGCAGTTGACACCTCTCCCACCACAAGGACACTCGGCTTCCTACAGTAAGTTACGTACACCGCCGTATGCAAATGACATGCGAACGCTGAAGCGCTTCAGCGGATCCGGGCACCCGTGGTGCTTTCTTCATGCCATAAACGCCTTTGTTTTTCCCTGGTACACACACACACACATGGCACACACACTCACACACCACAGAGCCCCCCAATGTGAAGCAGCGTGGCAATTGCGACTGAGACTCTATGAGGCCACACTCCATGATGCCGTTGCCATCTCTCCAGAAAATGGCATTGTCGATCTGCGCATTGGGATGGGCCAAAGTGTAGTACTCCGGGATCATCTGCCTGAGCCACGCCAAAAAAAACACCTCCCTCTCTCTGCAAAGAACTGCGAAAGTCCCATCGCAGAAAAGAACTCATCAGCAGGTGCATTCACGCCTTGTGAAAGCTATGTTTTTGACACTCAGCCGTGGTCGAGTTCTCAATCCTGAACTTAGACCGGCGAAGACCCCAGCTGATACCCAGTAGCTGGGAAAGCGTCAGAAAGGTTCATGGTTTCGGACATAAAGAGTTGTCAGATTGGTTATAGGCAGCGCGTCTATATCTCTACCCAGAACCCCTAATAGCTAAAGCTAGCTCTCTGGTGAAATTTCACAGCAAGACAATCTGAACGTGATTATCCCAAGATCGGACATCCCAAGCTACATTCTCAAACTCCCGAGCCCGAGCCGGATCAACAGCAAGGATAGCGCCTAAACGCTTGCGGCATTTCCTTAGCAATCCCGGTTGCATGTAGAAGGCGATCTCCTGCGAGTATTTTGCTATCTCTTTCGCCTGGCCACAGCCGGATCGCTCGACCCAGATCAGGGTGGAGGATGAAGGCTTGGGTGCAGCAGTGCCTACCTGGGAAGTAGCACACGTCACTGGCGCAGCCGCTCTTGAGCTGGCCGACGCCTCATTGAGAGCCCGCTTCAACGTGGCTTCCTCTACCAGCTTCTTCGGGAAGCAGTGCGTCGCAACGTTCCTCCGGGCATGATGTCATGCAGATTCATGCAGGGTGCTGCAGGCAATGTAGAGCTTTTTGCCCTTGACTCTCGCACTATCTACCTGCCGAGCTGCTTCACTTCCCCCTGCTTGCTCCGCAACGGCAACAAGGAACACGAAGTTTCATGCTGCCCGCACTGCCAACTTTTCGCAACCTGGAGTCTTCACCATACATTATAGTTTCGTCGTGGTGACTGCTTTGTAACTGTTCTTTGTATGCCGTTCTCCTGCAATTATCATTGTTCAGTTCCACAGCCACCTGGTGCAACTGGCTTGCAACGTCACGCCAGGCAGCTGTCTCGTTCCACGCTGCACGCGTGACTGCATGACCGCAGGCTTGTGCAAGGGAAACGTTTGAAGGAAAAGAACGCAAAGTTCCACAGCCAAGCAGCCCTAAATATTTACTAAACTGCTGACCCCTTTTTGCAACAGGCTTTCCACTCCGCCCGGAGTTGGAGCAAGCAGCCCAAACTGCTGACCCCTACCTCAAGCCCTAAGCACAGGAGCTCTGCCTGATGAAGGACTCAGCCATGGCTAGGAAGGACTCGGCTGCCGCAGGCGCCAGTCCCAGACCTGGTCCCGACTGTGTTCAGGGACTCTTCATCGAGCTAGGACTCATTGTCTCCTCCCCGGCCGCACCTAACGATATGTCTTAAAGATCCCGCGCCAAAACGCCCGGAGGATTCAGGGCCCCAGATCTCAGCTCTAAACCGAAACCCTGTGAACCCTGAACGAGCACCCGAGATCTTGTGAATCAAGTCATCTTTACAAAGGCCTTGAGATTTCCCGGCCTCCGGATACTCTGCGGACTACAAGAGCTAAATAACTACATGGCGAGGTCGCGAAATGAGATGAAGGTAAGGTCTCATCTGAAGTGGCACGATGAGGCCGTAACCTGTGAAGCGTCCAGTCGAGAGACCTGGCGACCTCAAACTCGTACTTTTTGAACAGATCGAGCTCCACTGCTCTGACCCAGTTCCTCACAAATACCCCAGGTTCGCACGATCTCGCAACTCGGGCCAACAGGGTAGAACTGATCGACATGCAGCCCTGTTCTCGATGACGAGGTCGCCGAGCAGGCCCGGCGTGCTTGTCTGTGGAAAGCTGGACTTCTCAAGCTTCCCATGTAGCCTCAAATTCCACTTTATGTCCTCTTACGACAGGCGCTCTGGCAGGAAGCAGCCATGAACTTGGACCTGCTATCTAACGAGCCGGCCAGCCATCAAACTGGCCGCCAGGCCCTGCGTAAGCTGCTGAAGCTTCGTGCATCGCCGCACCGCGATGTCGCGGAAGTCTTCGTTAAAATCCGTTAGAATAGACCAGCGAATCGATTCGATTGCGTTCGACCCCGGCTCTCCGCCTCTTCAGCCTTGGCATACTCGACCATCAGCCCACGCCTCGCAGACCCGCTCACCAATAGGCCGATGTTTGCGGAGAAGAGACAGATCCTATAGGGCACGTAGTACTGGTCGGCATCTGGATTGCAAGGCTCGCGATCACGAAGATAGTTGCCATCCGGCCCCACAGAGAAGTAAAATGAAGTAAATCTCAGGAAGCCCCATGCAAGCCATAGTCGAGCAGGCAGTTGTGCTTATGAGCCATCCCAACACCATGTAAGACCTGCGGAGATCGGGCGACAGTCTGACACTATACCCGCCATGAGGACTGAGAAGGCATTAGGAAGCGAGGACATGTTCTGCACCTCGGATGATGTCGGAGACATTGAGATAGCCCGCAACCACTCCCACGAGGCATTAGCCCAAACACCAGCAATGAAGAATGATGCCTCAATTCCCACAAGGGAGTAACACTGTCGGCCTTCCGTGAACCTTTCTCCATGAAGTTCACGACGATTCTGGACGAGTCCTGACTTTTCACTGTCTTCACACGCTCTTCAAGGCGGGCGGTGTCCGTCGCCATGGCTGGCAACAAGGCAGGCATACTAATCTGGAACCCGAGCCGCTGCCATTTGCGGTGTTGAGGGGAGCCCAATACTACCATCACGATGCTCATGAGTTAGCCATTCAGCTGCTGTTGCCAGCAAACTGCCGCCGCAAGAGGCGTTCTACTTGCATGTTCATGCTTGCTGCAACGAAGAGCGGCAACGACATTACTGCTGCCAGAACTCTAGCCACAACGGGCGCCATCTTCGGGTCAGCCAAACCTGGGAAGGGGGGGCGGGGACCTCGCCTAGTGGCTCACTGAAGGAACTCTAGCTTGCACGATTCGGATAGCGGCGATAGCGAATCGAAAATGTCAGCGAGACCTGGATCTTTACACCGGGTTTAGGCTTACACCTCACGCAAGAAGTGCATGCAGGAAAGTTGCACAAAACTTCCAAAGCGCGTTCTGGCCCCTTTCTACGCCAAGACTCACTTGACATAGAAGGCATCCCTTGCTTTTTGATTCAGTGGCCGCACGTTGGCGAAAATCTCCTCAGCAACACAAGGCTTGCAAAAAGCTGGACCGCACGCTTACAGGATGAGCTGATCGACCTCCGAGCGAAGACTGAAGCGGTCTCAACACTTGGCTCTCTAAAATCAGCGAGTTGTTTTAGAGATGCCATACGACTCTGCTGCGAAAGGCCTTTGTCTGAGTTGACGCGCAACCCAAGAAGCCCCAACTATGGGCGAGTTAGTGTGCAAAATTTGGGAAGGAGACACCTCCCCTCAGACCACGGGAAATGAGAGCCACGTGGCATGCATAGTCTTCAGCGCCTCTGGCTGTGCGAAACACTCCGCAACTTGACTGGTAGTCTGGTTGGTGTGGTAGAACCTGGCAGTTGGGAGACGATTTCCGACTTTAACAAAGGAGTACTTCGGCTGTTCACTGTTTCAACTAGCTCGGGATCCTTCCACGTTTGGGCTGTCTGTGAGTGCATCTACTAGAGCCAGATACACTTACTGTCGTGGCCTAGTCCGCAGCCCACCAGCTTGTCTTGTTGGACCATTGAGGTAGGACCCTTAACGGGCCACGGGTCTCTCTTTTGCATATGCACCATCAACCCCTGTCTCTCTTACTTCGGACCACGAGATACAGCTAAATCACGTGATAGTCCGCGCTGGCTGTTGCTCAGCACCCACTTGGAGCGAAACCTGCTACTCTGCTAGGGGCGTCGACTTCATCAGAGCACGTCGTGATGGTGCACAGTCGCTGCGATCATCCCAGCCCCTACACTCCCTTAAAAATTACGTACCAGGACCAAACTCAAACAAAGGAGCCAGCCAAAGAATCGCGCCAAAGCCCGGCTGTGGGCATAGTACATCTCACATGCATCCTGCGGCTCGGATTTGGATTGCTCGTAACTAGCAGTGCCATGCAGTGAATGTCGAGCTGAGATGTTGTCTCATTAGCGGCTATGACCATCCGCTTTTGTCGTCACGCCAGTGCAGGTGTCAACTCTCTGTTGCGTTGCATGGTAGTCCTTCAGCATCCAGTCCCGGTACTTTCCTGCTGGGGGGAGAATTTCGTCCGGACCGTAGGACTTCTTCGAGTCACTGCCATACGGTATTCTCCTGCAGGCACTCTCTCTGTATTGTGAATTCGTTGGGGAGTGGACTTGCCGGCACTTTCTCATTCTGTCCGCGCTTGCATGGCGCATAAAGGCCATGAGCGCCAAATGTGGACAGCTGGACTAGCAAAACAGGTCTCCTGCACTAGTACCGATAAGTAGAGTTACAGTACATACAAACCGATGGAAGAGCTCGACTTTGCGCAACAACTCGCCAGGCTTGGTTGGCAATGTTGCTGTTGGCTCAAGAGGTGCGGTAGATTTACTGCTTACCTGGGCACTACTAATGGCTTTGCCCCTCGAGCTTCCAGATCATGCCAGGGCACTCCATGACCCAAATAAAGTTCCTTACTGCGAGCTCTTGCAAGTCCGCAACATGCATAAGCCTCACTTTAAAGAAAGCTTTGCGGCGAGGCATCGTTGTCCGGCGGTTCATGTCCGCGAAGAAGATACGAGGAGTCTTTACTGGCAGCTTGCCGGAAAGCATGTTGTAAAACATCGTCTCAGCCCAGTCGCCATTGATAGTAACCTGTGACAGGTTTACTCTGTGCAGAACTTCAACTTCTTCGGCAGCACCAGGCACGAAAACAGTTAAAGAGCCACTGACGAGCGGCAGTCCAAACCTGCTACCAGACAGAAACATTGCTGCTCGAACTGAGTGATAGCACCGAGATCTTGAACCGCTCGTTCTTGCCAGTGAACTCATGCGGCATCTTGACAAACATCTCCTGAGAATGGCTTGCGATGACTGGATGTAGTTAGCGCATTTAACCCAGGACTTTCTGAAAAGATTGCCATCATGACTTTATATTACTATACTGACTGCTGCTGCTGCTGCTGCT